TTTATAGGCTATTTGGGCATGTTACTTCGTGGTTGCACTGACCGAGGAAGGGGATAACCTCGGGGTCCCCACTCCAAGCTTTTTTCATTACAACAGCAGACGAAGAAAGTCCCATAGTTACGAGGACCTGCTGTTCAGTGACGGAAACCGGTGACATCATCATCATCATCAACATCGTACAGCGAGATAGACCTAGGCGAACTTTACTGATCGCAGCCAAACTCATAATGTACACAAGTTGGGTGATAAACAACAAGATGGAGAGGGATCGGGCCTAATTTGAGGGAAGCAAAGAAAGTACGGAGCACACAAACTAAGTGTGCATACATACCGTTTCAAGCATTCTATCTCGATAAGAAATGACAACAAGAACACCACTGCTGTTGGGTAGTCGGCATATCCTTTAGTGTCGCTAACCAACTAATTAGAGTATTTTGGACCGCAACCTGAGAGACGGGAGACACCTATTCTACCTAATCACTGTACATTTCTTCATGGTTCGTTTCCACGTCACCTGTTGATCTCCTCGTTGCTTCTTCCAAGCTGGAGCCGCGACTAGGAATAAGGCGCGGTGCGGTAGACCATGGCTGGGCATATGCAATACGTGTCTTAACCAGGGAAGCCGACTAATCTGAATTCGATGGGACAACGCGTTCTCCATCAAACCATTACCAAATATGCGACGCCTTACCTATTTCTTACACGTTCGTTCAATCCAACACGCGCCAAACTACGTAAATATCGGCGACCGAAGACTTCTAGACGACGAATATCTTTCACAAGCAAATTTAGGGTCTCGCAAACATAAAGCAGAACTGATTGTACACTGGCGCAGGATACACGACCTTTCAGTTTCAACGAAACATCGCGTCTGCACCAAAGGTGTTTCAGTCCTGTGTGAGCTGCTCGAGCCTTGGAAATGCGGGCAGTCAAATCATTGACTACGTTACCGTCATTCGTCACGCAGCTACGTGAGTAGGAGAAACATTACACCATAGCTAATTCTTGACTATCAAGCATTAGCACCGGGGTAGGCGATACCCACCTTTGCACTTTGAAGGTGCAAAGCGCATACCGAATGAAGTTCCAGAACTTGAAAGTCTGCCCATACATTTGAACAGACAAATGATGTCATCGGCGGACTCTAAATCGCACCGCTTTTCTCCAGCTGTCCATTCAATACCAAAATTTTGGAGACCACCAAGTGCGTGCTCCAGTATTTCGTCTACGACAAAATTGAATAGGAATGGTGAAATAGGGCACCCTTGATGAACACTGCTCCTCGTTTTGAATGATTTACTTGACCCATTGTAGATCCTCACGCCGTCAGAAATATGCAGGTACGGCGACCGCAATAAGTTTACATACTTCCGCGGCAATCTTTTGCGAAGCAGTGACCCCATAAGAGCTTCACGGTTAACTAAATGGAAGGCTTCTTTTAGGTCAAGAAACACATAACTACCAACCCCTAACCAGGAGATTAGGTCACATAGGCCCCGTCAGGCTCTCTGGCTGATCACCGATTGTTAGAGGCTCTGAGTGAGATGGCTGGGTGTCGCAAACAGTGGTGCTCGTGCATCCACTCATTATTCCCCTAACACCATTCTATATGAATTCTCCATCTTCCGCTTGAATTTGCTTTCAACAACCTAATCTTCATCCTGCTCTTTTAACCAAAAGGGGCACTAAAAGACAGCAACCAAAGCGGCGCACGGAAGTGCATGGTTAATGGTTGTAAAAGCTGAACTGAACTCACTCCGCTAGATGAAATGGACAGCGCGGTACTGATTATCTTGCGCGACGATCGATGCAGTATGAAATTATTTTTAGTTATATTTCATTGGAGCTTTTTAGACGGGTACTTTCAGGGAGTCCAACCGCTAAGTAGGGGGTTCTCAATCAAAGCCTCTAGAACCTAACGGCAAGGCAGCGCTTAAGGTGGGTAAGAGGCCCATTAACTTGGGTCAATTAATCCTCCAATACGTTTTACCGATTGAGACGCCAACCCAAGTCGAACTCCCAACCTGGAGGACCAGGAGACTGGACTTCGCCTGACATCCACCCATTGACCTTCCAGGCATGATTGGGTCTATGGCTCGACAAAAGCCATCCTGTGTAGCTCGATGGGTCAGAGTGATGCACAAGCCATCACACCACGTCAATGCGCAGTCTCATTGTGATTGTGGCCTTGAGCCCCGGGAATCCGTCAAGTGAGACGTGGTATTAAACCGGACAAGAGCAAAGCTGTCTACCACCAAAGCCAGAGTTGCGATACAGTAGGACGGAGTTTAGAGTCCGCAGTCCGTTGGAGGGCATTGTTCAATTAATCGGATCGTAAGCGGTTTGGATGGGGTACCCAATATACCTCGATACCCAATCAAGCCGGTGACCACTGCCAGAGCCAGGAAAGGGTGGATGGTTATGGTTCGTACGCTTTTCCCGGTTGGTTCGAAATCAGTTTTAATTCCACTTCCCTAGGCGAAGAACGAGTGGTTCACCGACCCGGTTGNTTTCGGTCTTGCGTCCTCATCTTTTGAGGAGAAAACACCTCTGCCACCGAAGCAGTAAGTAGGGCTTTCTCAGCAGAGGCTATCTGAGACGTTGGGTCATATGGGAGCGGTTCGAGAGGTGTAAGGGAAGGGTGATCAGTCGCAACCTGGGACACTGACCCCGACGATACTGAGGCTTTCGTACGTGATATTTTATGATAAATTTATAAGCAAAGGAAACCATGTAGCTAAATCGTGAATGAAGCTCATGCAGTCAATATGAGCCGATTATGAATTCCGATTTTTCGCTCACCGAAACATGGGAATGACACCCCGCTACTTTATGGGTCAGGCTTTGACTGACCAGAGTTTCCGGTTGTAAATTTTATTGGGAAATTCAGTTCTCTTGAACCTATAAATCTGGAGGTACCCCACCCATAGGCTAATTACAGAATTTCATTGATATAAAGATCACTGTGCCGTGGGGTTTTAGTAGTGAAATAAAACATAATATAGTAATACCACAGATAACTAAAAACGTGTAATGCAGATCGATTCGAATGAATTAAAGGTCACGGCAAGGATGGACTTTGGTACACCTGGGGAGTTTGATAAAAACCTGATTCCAAACCAACCATGAGGCGTACAGATCACAGTCACCCACGCTTTCCTGGTCATGGTAGTGGTCACCGAATCAATTGGGTATCGAGGTTTATTGGGCACCTTGGATGTATAAGCTACACATAGCCCCAATGAATTGCGGTTTTCACACTCAAGCCGCTGCCTCACAGGTCACGCTTCGGCCAGCCGAAAGCTCCACATGTTAAGTTCGTAAGGAAATTCAGCCGCTTCACTTCGGCAACCCAACAGTATCGTGCCCTCGAACAAATTAATGACCGTTTTTTATTTATAAGAATTATAGTACCGTGATTTAGTAGTTTAAACTCATGCGTGTGTGAAAATATATACAAAACAAAACGTGTATATTAATCTCGGCATCTAGCTTCCGGTGGTTGAGTGATATTTCTGAAGACTCAGCAGACTCCGCTTTTCACGGAGATTATCGTTTTCGCCTAATCAAAGATAGTTCGTACAACAGTCCAATATAGCGGTGAAGCATGAAACACCATCATTGAGTGTTTGGGAGAAGTTCAGGAGAAATAGGAGCACTCACGGTATTACGGACATTACAGAACTGGATGAAATAACCAAACAGTTCACTTACCGGTCCGGATTTGGAAATCGAGTGAACCGTGAAATCGGGGCAGAACAAGAGATCCTGTAGTCTTCAATAATTTAGAAAAACAAAAACTTACGCAAAGCGCTGATATCAGACTTTGAGCCAAAGGGACACATTCTCCCTAGAAAAGTTGATTTAATCGGTGGAAAATGAACTTACATCAACAGCGGATTCGGGTTCTGATGGAAGAGCAGACCAAAAAAATGATCGCCATTCTGGATCTTCAAATATATAAGGCAATATTCGAGTGAGTAGTCGGATGCAATTCAGAGCTTTTGAAATCGTAACTACGGTAAACACAACGCCTACCGGTTTGCTGGTCTTTGGAAGTTGGAAAAGAAGCTTCTGCTAACTGAGAAAGACGCTCAACTGCTTTATAACAAAGAGTAGCGAGGTTGTTTGGCGACTCTTCTCGAAGGGCACGGATTTCTGCAGCTGGAATGAGAACGAATATATCTTGTACACTAATTGAGACATCCGTCCAAAACTGCGCCCAAAAGGCGTTATCATTCGCGTCTACAGGCTTGAAAAAAATTAAAACATCTTATAGGAGAATACCTGCGTCTTTGTTGTTAACTGAATTATGACATTCCTGTAATTCAATTTGGAATTATCACCACCCATCACGGATAACCAGAACACAACAAAAACCAGGCGCTGTCCGTTTTATGGTTGGGCCAGGTCAGGTCAGGTTGCACAGGACTGATAATGGCCACGGCCAATCGAG